CATGAGTTGGCATCAAGGCAATGAACAAGGACAGCAGTGACTGGAGAGCAGAAGGCCGGAGCACGGTGGCTTTGGAGGCTGGAGGAGCCGGGATCCTGGCTGGCTGATTGCATGCTCCAGGGTCACCGGGCCACTCCCATACCTTCTGGACCCATCAGCTAGTTGGCCTGTCCCGTGCACAACTAATCTCTTAACAGGGTTGATAAACAATCCCAGGCACCTGAGCAAATGGAGGTGGCATTCCCTCAGGGGGCTGGGCACACCGGCTGCGATCCAAAAGTCATTAATAGGATTAAGTGTGTCCCTCTGTCTGGGACTTTTCCTTAGCTTCGAAACCCCAACGCCTTTAAGAAGTAGAGATGTCACAGTTAAGCCATGGACGTCATTGAATTGCTCTCTCAGTGCCACGGTGGGAGAAGGTGACGCACGGGGGCTGAGACAGAAGCAGCTTGCTTGCCTGGGGTGTGCCAGTGGCTTTCTCCCATCTCATGACCAGCGGACACTGTTCTGGGGAGGTTGGTTCTGACCCTCTAGGCTGTACCTTGACAGTGAGCTGTGGGTGTCCTGGAGAGGGTGTTCCGAGAAGCTGGGGTTCTAGTTCACCAGCAATGCTACCTTGAAAAATTCAAGATGCCACAAAACCAAACCTCCACCACCACTACCCGCAAGCATCCTAAAACTGTGTTGATCCTGATGGCCGCTACCTACAGCAGCTGCAACAACCTTGACAAAAACCATTGTTTGGGCCTTTCTTCCATGGGTGTCTGGGTGGTTTTGATCCACCAACCTTTAAGCTGACAGTCCAGAGTGCAAACCAGAGATGTTCAGTGACTCCTCATCCACCCACCCCCACCGAATAGCAACAACAAAAAACCCCAACCCCCTCTCAAAACATCAGTGGGCAGAGCTAGGATGCAGAGGTCAAACCTGTTTACCCCACCCCCCACCCCCTACCCCATGTATCTCTCAGGGGACCAATTGAGGACCATTCAATGTGGCTGATCCTTTTCAGGGTGTGGGTGGGGAGCAATCTCTGGCTCAGTGAACAAACCAGTCTGTCGTGAGCGAGCCTGTGGCAGCAGGTGTCTGGAGTCCTGGCTCCTGAGCCCACGTCCCCGCAGGCCCCCAGGAGGAACAAAAGTGCCCCTCTGCCCGAGGTGGGCTGGAAATTGTGCCTGTGTTCCTCCCATACTGCTCTGTAATTAGAGACACAGGCACCATTTAAGTGATTGGGGAAGATTATATAGTTTTAGATAAATAGGATTAGAGTGTCTTCTCTTTCCTGATTCTTACCCAGGTGAACACCCCAGTAAACCATTGAAAATAACCCTGGGGAGACACTCTGGTTCCGGCACCTCCTGGGGAGTCTGAGAAACAGGCGCTCACAAGAGGAGGCCTACGGGTCCGGCCAGGGGCTGTGGAGTCTGGCATGTGCGGGGGAGCATGCTCTTCCTCTTCAGCCATGAATGGACCGTGTGGCTTTGCAGAGATGGGCACGGCGGGGGACTTAGTCACATGTGCAACAAGTCTTATTCAGCGCCTTTTGGGGACAGTCCCTAGAACAGACACTCGGAGATAGGATAGGATAATGATTTTAGGGTGACAGCGGGGCGGGGGGAGGGTGCTGGGGCAAGGGAGGGAAGGATGAGTCAATCATTCTTAAGACAACTTCAGAGAGTGATCCCGGACTCTGAAGAGGAGAGTGGGATGGGACAGTGAGGGTCGGGCAGGCCTCTCCGAAGAGGTGAACTGAGCTGTGAACTGGAGGAGTCATGTTTGGGATGAAGTGGAAGGAAAAGCATGCGAGAGAGGGCGCAGCCAGCAAAGCAGAGGGAAGGAGGGAGAAAGGCCTGCCAGGGCAGGGCAGGCTGGGTCCTGGGAAAGAGATGTGGAATTTGAAGCCCCAGGACCCTACACATACCTTTGGGTGATACTTCTGCACCAGGTGTGATTCTACACAAGTACTGAGAAGGATCCCAAGGAGGATCCTCTGAGCAGGATGTGGGCAGCCCAGAGGCTGTTTGGGATTTTCCCGGAGGGGAAACTGGTTGGGTTCGGACCCTACATGGAGAGTCCAACCCCATCCCTGGGTCTGGTCCCACCACCCAGCCCCACTCAGGTCCCTTCTAGACTGGAAAAGAGGGTCTGCGGACATCAGACAGCCCCACACTCTCAAACACTCTGGGAGGGGGAGAGAAGCCCCCGGGGACCCAGCTTTGGGCTCAGAACACCGGGGCAGGGCAGGCTCTCCAGCAGCTGCGCCAGCTGTGAGGCACAGCTTCATGCATAAAGACAGCTCAGCTGGTGACGCAGGGGAGCTGAAGGACAGAGATAAGCTTTCTGTTGCAGGCACTGGAGGTCAGGGAGAGAGGCAAGCGGCCAGGCTGGGCCGCCTGAGCCGGGGAGGCTGGGCTGGCGACTGCCACAGGGGTCATTGTCCTTCTCTGGGTCTCAGTTTCCAGTTCAGGATGATGGGAGAGGCGTCCATTCATGGCTCCCACATCTTCCCAAGGGGTCCAGACCAGGGCAGGGTACCCCCCAGGGGCAGGGTGGGAGACCTGGCATGGCTGGAGGCCAGAGGAGGGTCGGAGGCAGGGTGTTTACACTAGGCAGGCCGGGCCCCGGGGTGGTGTCTAGAAGGTCGCCCAAAGTAAACCTGTCTTGTTTGCCAGGCCTGTAAAGAGAAAAGCACTTTGGCGCACTCTTACAGGAACTTCTGAGAAAGGAAAACGTATTCATCCTGGAGATTAGGCTGGCTTCCGGGGTGCAGACCGGGCCCTTTGTTCCCTCATGGCTCTGGAAAGTGGGCTGTTCACCCTATGCCCCCTGCTGGGGTGGCACCCTGCCAGGGCCGCATGGGGGTCTGGGGGGGTGATCTCCAGACCCCAGGCTTTTGTTTACACACACCACCCCCCACCCCGCCTGTGGTCCCTTCCCTGCCCTATCCAGAGCCATAAAAAATAGCTGACACTTGTTGAGGACTTGCTTTGTGCCAGGCACTAAATACTTCTATTATCTCCTTTAATTCTTGTGCCGGCTTTGTAGACAGGGATCAGATTTCACAGATTCTAAAATGTACAGTTCTTTTCACATTTCAACCTCTCTGAAACCAGATGATGTCTTCCAAGCCGGGGTGTGTCTGAGCTTCATTGGCAATGGGTTGCTTTCTTGCTTAGCGTTTATAAGTTAATGGCACATTTCACTGTGGTAGAGGGTACTTGGTCGT